TCTATGAGAAGGTCATCTCTACCAAAACGACTTTTAAGACTTTGCAAAGCTTTTGAATAGTTCTCAGCGGTAGCAGGATAGCTTTCGACCAGCTGACGATCCCTAGAATTAGCTAAAGTAGCCTGCACAAGATAATGATATTTATCAATATCGTCAATATTCTTGTCATCATCTATTCTTTTGAATTGTGCCCAAAAAGGTAGCCAATCCTTCAAATCCCCACTAAACTTTGTGAATTCAATAGTAGGTAGCTTAGACCTAACAGCAGTAGATTTACTCATTACAGACCCATTGGACTCAGGTGAAGTATCCCTAGACCTAATCAATCTACTCTGTACAGCTAAACTAATTCGATTAAACTTCTCTACATATTCATCTGCTAGCCTAACTTCTTCATCTAACTCTTCTTCATCTGCTTCAGAATCAAGCAAGAATTATAAAATTTCCCTGTCCAAAGTTTTTATATCTTCTATCTTACTTTCCAGAGAGCTCAATTTACCCTGTATATTGTGTAGGTCTTGCTCATCTTTGCATAGCTCCTCATTTATTCCATTATAAATTCTGGTAAATGCTGTTCTGAAGGTTTTTCTTAGTTTCCTATTTCTTTCCATTATCTCAATAGTGACTATCTGGTTAAGAACTCATACAGTCCTGTCACGGTCGCCAAATGTTAAAAGTCAAAAATGGAAAGAGAATAGTTTAGATAATGAGCAGAAAATAATTTAATTATTCACAAAATAAAAGTTACTCAATCATAGTAAAATGCTACCAAACTATTATTCCTGTAATCACAACATAACAATTCATCCCAAAAATCATATGTGTCAAAATTATTAAAGTTCATATTTTTATACCAGCTGGCCAAATGTTAAAAAAATATAAACCATAGATTATTGAAATAAAATGTGTGAATACTATATCCAACAGTTTTATTTGTGTTTCATTTCATTGCCATTTGTATAACAACGTATTACATCGATGAACCTCAAATTTTAGTTTAAATATTCCTAATACATTATCATATATATATAAATAAAAGTTCATGTTTTGTTGAAAAGTTTATGGCAGATTTTATTCACTATTTTACGTTTCACATCCTAATAAAACTGAAACTAGACTTATTTTAACTTGTGTAGCTTTGTTTGTGTGTGTATCTGTCAATGATGACTATATAGCAGCACTGTCTTCTCCAATAAACTAAACCATTGATTAAGTTAAAGCTATTTTTTATATTCGCTATACAGGTGAGAATGTCAAGAGAAATTTTAAATGGCCTAAATTGTTTTGAAACAAAATACCAAATGACAAAAATCACCCTTTTGTGAGATAAGGGCTCCATTTTCTCCTACCTTTTACTACATTCGTCATCCATCAAATGCTAATCAGGTGTCTGGATTGAGATTATTTCAGCAAATCGTTACTAAAGTGCAGAGCTATACATGTTTACATGTATAACTATACAAATTATATATGTCTACATGTCGTGTATATGTTTAAATGTTGTTAGTTAGTATCCTAACTGTGTTATAAATACACTCTTGTAGGCGATGAAAAATTCTCTCCTTTTCACCGATTTGGTAAACAGAAAATATAACTGGACAAAAATAAGTGTAAGAATAAGTCTTACATCTGTTAAATGTACCATGCACCCTGACTACTAGTGGTGAGGGTATGATCTAAGATTGTTACTGCCCCTGATTACCCCCAACCGTTATGTCTTCCGTCACGCGATAAGGTCATTACAACCCAGGCTCTCCTGTAATTAAGGGTGTTTGAGGTTTATTTAGGATTGATACTGATGTGATGATGTATAGATAAAAAAATTATTAAAATTAATACATAACTAGAGGACCTATGCTGCTCCGCAGCGTTAAAATAAATATAATATCCGAGAAATAATCAAATTTATGATTGTTTATTGAGTAATACAGTATCTTGAGCTTAACTAATCCAAACGATAAATAGCTCAAATAAAGCTTATAATTGACTGATTATTTTGAGTCTAAAACATATAAAAAACGTGAACAATACTGGAGTTATTGATGTTTAATCATAGAAAACCTTTATGAAAAATTATGTTTATGTTGGTTGTTCACTTTGCATTTGCTTGAAACTGGTCCGATTTATTTTACTGAAGGTTCTTAAACCAAAATATATATGATTATATAAATTACAACTGGTGAAGTACATCTTAAATTGAAGTAATCATACATTCAAAAAATAATCAAATTATGCATATGCTTGATGGCAAATATGTGCGTGCAAACCTTCAATTCGAGACCTCAATCATGAAAATCGGTCAGGTAGAAGATCCAAACGAGCTCGGCAAAGAAAAACCAAATTTAACTCCCATAAGAAATACATGGGGAGCAAACTTTGTTTCCATATATGTCGAGTGGGATTATAGATTCAGTTATGCCGATGATTGAAGGCAAAACTGTACGTGCATACCTTTAATTCGAGACCCCAATTATGAAAATCGGTTTGGTAGATGAGCCAAACGAACTCGGAAAAGAAAAAACAATTTTTTAAATATATAAGATAATAGTGAGATAAATAATATCCTGGGTTATTGGTCGATTTAACTGCAAAATTTATGAAATACCGAGATAAACTTCAATGCAAAAAATAAAAATCCTCGGTTTTATTCATATCCAAACCCATATAAGCTCATAAACCCATTTTTAGACCATGATAGTGATTGTAAACAATGAAATGCGAGTTGCCTATTTCTGTTTCACTCATCAATATATTGTTGATGTAAATAAGCGATGTAAACATACCGAGATTCCAAAATCAAGGAGAATATATGCTGATAAAATTCTGTTTGCTATTATTTAAAGGCTGATTTTTTAAATTGTAAGCCACACTATAATGTACTCTTGCAAATTACAAACATTTAACTATTAAGAACACCAAAAATAAAACAAACTACTTTATTTAGTCGAATAGTGTGTTATGATCAATCGTATTTTAAAATCAGCTATTACAGTAATAAATTTCCCCATTAGATTAAATTACATTACTTGAATTCATAAATACTGTATGTGTTATTCCTTATAGCACAGGTAAAATAAAATAAAACTTTATACTAACGACGCATTGTCCACTCAGAATCTCAAGGGAAGTCAAACTTACTAACAACAGTACTGTAGTGAACATATGTTATAAACATTTCATAAATTCTGTATAATAGGTAAATTTAAACATTGCAGCAAAGAGTATAAACCATTAATTATTCATTTTTAAAACTACAACTAGACCACAACTACTTTCAAAATGTATTTATATTTTATTTACCACACATGTGATCGTTTTATGGATGTCTAAGAAATTATGGTTAATAAATGGTCTGTTAACAAAATAATTTTACAGGATTAGTATGGATTTAGTGACAAACGACTTGGCGTGTTACTTAGATGGGCTGAATCACTCGTATTAGAGTTAGTTCAGTAAGCATGCCCCCCTCACCAGCTCAATAATTGAACTGTCATGTGATTATGAGAAGTGATTTTTGTTCTATTAATTGATTAGCATCCCTTGTTAAAGTGATATTGGGCCTGGCTAGTAACGTTGTAAATTGACACATTTTAGCAATAATGGTTAAAATTAGGTTTATATCAAAGAATTGAACTATTTTTAATTCATGAAGAACCTTTTGAAGATTACAATACATATGCACTGTAAACAAGACATTGCCAATATACAAGATACATATTCACCCATTCAAGATATTATCTTGTAAATATGTACTGAAGATTACACAATATTTTCAGGAAGTATTGCGCTCTATTTATATTTAATTTTTATTTATATCCATTCCTACATTTTGCTACAAGTAATATTTAAAATGGTCTAAATACTAGCAATGGAATGCAGATATACTAGAAAGTAGTATGACGTTATTACGTTTGTGTTATAATCACATCATACGACTGCCAGTATGGTCTAGTTGTCCACCATACACAAACACAATATATGCGTTCACTTTGAGTGCCTATTAAACTGAATATTCATGCACATAAACTGCTTGACTTAATCGATGAACCCTGACGTGTAGTTGTATATGTTTGCTCATAGTTTTTTTTTCTTCGTATAATTACAAACTTAAAACTATTATCTTTCTGAAATTGATTCATGATGTAGCTTTTGTAATTTGACTATTTCAGAATCATTGTCTTACACATTAAATTAGTTTACGTGTTTTTACTTTCTTACACTATACTTAGTATATACAGAAAGTATTGTATGAAAAATTTTCGAGTTCTCCTGGACCCCAAAAAATGTTTTCTATGTGATGTCCGTGTATTTGTACAGAGCTGTGGTCCGATTTCGATGACAGTTGATGACGATTGATTTGATTGTAGGATTTAAATCCATGGAAGGTATTTATTTTTTAGAAGTTTTGATTTTTAATTGTAATTTTGCCATAAAATATAAAAAAAAACGAATAAAAAATGGCTGGAACAATTTTGATTAAAATTCTGTATATTGTAGCCATTTTAACTCTTAACAAAATGGTACAAACCAACGCATACATTAATTTTTTCATAAAAACACATGAAGTTGCAGTTGTAAAGAGGTATATGTAATAACTGTACTTCTAAATTAATAAGTTAAAAGAACCCGATACTAGGGACAACTTACTACATAGCATGTTAACTCCGACTGCCGTTTCACTCCGCTTCGTGCCATCGTTCCTCGTCGGTGACGTCACTCAGCAGTGCAGCCAACCACACACACAAACTCAATATTCTTCTGGCAATGTAATAAAGCCTTATATATTACACTCGCCCAAACTTAAAATAAAACTCTTCTCTATAGGCCTAACCTTTTTCTTCTAGGCTAAGCCAAATCAACAATTTTTTTTGTTTGCATTTTCTTATTTTACAATTTTTTTTGTTTCTAAGCTTCACAAAATATTTCAGAACACTAAATAAACTTTTCTTCTTCAAATAAAATAAACATAAAATCTTCTCTCTCTAACTCGGCCTTTTAACTTAAAGGTCGAGCCGCTTCGGCTTTTGCACAGTCCTTTGAGATCTCCGAAGTGATGGCGGGCTGCACTGCTGGCTGGGCTGCACTTCGGGATGCTCGTCTGTAGTGTGCGTAGCTGGAGATTTTGGTAGGCCTACACTCCGTTGTTGTCTTGGTGATGTATTCCGAGTTTCCATGACACGAGGTGATCGCTCTGGCGGAGTTTGTATTCCCACAGCAGACTTGTTCTCAGGGGATTTGATCGGAGATTGCACTACCGGCCTATTGACTGTAACTTCCTCTTCCTCAGTCAACTTACTAGATCTCAAATGATCTGCGTGGCAGAAACGTATTTTACCTCCCAGGACGCTCACCACATAAGTAGACGGACTTTTCCGCTCCAAAATTCTCCCAGGAATCCAAGAAATGATCTCCTGCCGTACTGACTTCACAAGCACCTTTTCTCCCTCCACAAAGGATCTGAAACTTCCCCGATGGTTATCGGCTGCTTCCTTCTGCGCCTCCCTCTTCTTATCAATGGCTGACAATAAACAGGGTTTAAGCATTGTCAACTTAGTTCTCGGTTTCCATTGAAGGAACAATTCCGCAGGGGTAACACCAGTGACAGTACTGGGTGTGTTGCGAAATGCAAAGAGGAAATTATCCAATTTATGTTGTAAAGAAATGGTCTCAGAACCACTAGCCATAACCTGTCTTTTAAGGTTCTTCTTGACTTCCTGTACAAATCTTTCTGCAGCCCCATTCGAGGCAGGATGGTAAGGAGGTGAGAGCGTAAACTTAATACCGTTGTTGCTCAGAAATTCTCTGAATTCCCCACTAGCAAAATTGGGACCATTATCACTGACCAATTCTTCCGGTAGGCCAAAAGACGCAAACAGCGTACGCAGTTTTTCAATGGTTTTAAACGATGTAGTAGATTTCATGATAAACACTTCTAGCCATTTGCTAAAACTATCAACAACTATGAGCATTTGTTGTCTTGTTAGTGGGTCTTCCGCATAATCCACGTGGATGCGCTGCCACCTACTTGAAGCTCTAGGCCACTGACATAATGGCACCTTAGCCACAGCATTCCTTGTACACTGACACACATGACATGAGAGAACAGTCTCTTCAATGGTTTTATCAATTCCCGGCCACCAAACAAAGCTTCGGGCTAACATTTTCATCCGATTTATTCCGGGATGCTGATCATGCAGCAATTGGATAACGGCACTCCTCAGTTTCTCTGGCACCACTACTCGACTACCCCATAAAACACACTGGTTCTCTACGGACAACTCATCCCTTCTTCGAAAATAAGCAACCAGCTCAGAATCTTGACTATCACGCCATCCATGCCAAATGAAATCTCTGACCTTTGTCAAAACAGGATCAGTATCAGTAAGTCGAGCGATATCCTTAGCAGTAATAGGATTGAGATCACTCACCAATTTGAAACAGTCAAAGGCCTCTACCAGGGAAGAAACATGAGAGATGTAGTTGGAATCCAGCTCCAATTGGTCGTCATCAGGTAACGGTAATCTCGAAAGAGCGTCCGCATGTGGCAAGTCCAAGCCACGGCGGTACTTTACTTCAAAACTGTAGGCGGAGAGGATCAGGGCCCATCGTTGAAGACGCGCAGCGGCGACACAGGGAACTCCCCGCTTATTTCCAAAGATTGTCACTAAAGGAGCATGGTCAGTCTGTAACACGACATTTTTCCTACCGTAAATATATTTATGGAATTTTTTACTCCAAAAACAAGAGCCAAAGCTTCTCTATGCAACTGTGAATAATTTCTTTCACTAGCACTCAAGGATTTCGATGCGAAGGCAATAGGCCTCTCTACTCCATCAATTAGGTGCGAAAGCACGGCACCAACACCTCGTGGACTTGCGTCACAAGTCAAAACTAATGGTCTATTTACATCGTAATGAACTAAGACATCTGAAGACAATACCCATGTCTTACTTTCTTGAAAAACAGAAGAACATTGGGATGACCATACCCACGGTGCATCCTTACGAAGTAGATCGTAAAAACAGCTAAGTTTGTCTGAAAGATTGCAAATAAACTTCCCATAATAATTTATAAGGCCTACATAGGCTCTTAACTCTTCCTTTGAAGTTGGCTCAGGTGCGTTCCGAATCGCCTCTAAGATACCCTCCTGCGGGCTGATCCCTTTTGACGACAAACAGTAGCCTAGGTACTGTACTGACGGCTGTAAGAATTTACATTTAGAATCATTTACCTTGACTCCATAACTTTGAAGACGTTGAAGAACACTCTCCAAGCGTGACAACGCTTCCTCTTGCGAAGATCCGGGTGAGTAGATTTCACCGTTGTAGATCCCACCAGTACGTCATCCAAATATGCCACTGACCCAGGTAGGCCACCAATAATTTTGTCCATGGCCGCTTGAAAGAGAGCCGGAGCCGAAGACAAACCATACGGCAGACGTCGCAAACGCACTAAGCCTTTGTGCGTAGTTAGAGTCAAGAGTGGTTGGGACTCCTCCGCCACAGGAAGTTGGAGATACTCTGCCTCCAAGTCCAAAACTGAAAACCAGCTACAACCTGCTAGAGTAGCAAAAATGTCCTCCGGTTGAGGCAAGGGATAGTGTTCCGACTGGATCACTTGATTAAGGGTTACTTTAAAGTCCCCGCAGAGTCGCACCCCACTTTTCTTCTGAATCACCACAATAGGAGTAGCCCACTGAGAGCTGGTAACGGGATAAGCAATACCTTCAGCAATCATCCTATCAATCTCATCTTCTACTGATTTACGCAACGCGTAAGGAACAGGGCGATATTTACAAAATTTTGGCACAGCATCCTCTTTTAGCACAATACGTGCCTCAACATCCTTAATTTCACCAGGGCCTCCTTTGAACACAGAGGCATACTTTTGTTTCAAATCAGAAACGACTTTAGGCTCATCGGCCTTACCTAGGGTTAGGTTAGGTTCACCACCCTTAGATTTAACACTGCCTGATAGGCTATTAAAATTACAAGTAAAAATAGATTTCCAGTCAAAAGCAATATGTTGTAGCCAACTACGGCCTAGAAGCATAGGCTGGTTCGTACGATCAATCTTAACGACTATCATAGGTAAATGATAAGTCTGGTCCATGTAGGCTACTTTGACTAAAGCTTGTCCAATAACATTGACTTCATTGCCTGAATATGTAAGCAACTTGATATCTACAGTACTCAATTGAACATGAGGGAAATATTTGTTAAACAATTCTTGAGGGCACACAGTTAGTGCCGAGCCAGTATCAATTTCCATTAATACGGATACATTCTCTATTTCTAGGCTTACCTTAAAGGCAGAAACATTATCCCCAGAATTCATACTGTACAAAGACAAACTTTCAAACTCCACTTCATCTGGACCACCACTAGGCCTAGGCCTATTTTCCTCTTCCATCTGATGGATTTTAAATTTACCACTTTTTATGGAATTTTTCACTGGATTTTCTGATTTGAACCTGCAAACCTTACTGATATGACCCAACTTTTTACACCCATGGCACTTGTAATTACTATACGGGCAATTATTAGCCCTATGCTCTGGATTGCCACAACGAAAACACTTATTTATCTGAGACATATCTCCCTTCACATCACTTGAATTTGATTTAGATCCCGCACTGTGAAAATTTGAACCTCGGTTGGAAACACGTGGATTCTTCTTGACCTGAAACCTGGAAATTTCCTGAACACTTGTATTCGAGAATAGACCTGTCTGTTTCTCGGCCTGTTCAAGCCTGAGTGCAAGAGCCAACGTTTTCTTCAAATCCATTTCTTCGGGAAGTAATTTTTGACGAATTGCTTCATTTTTAATTCCCGAAACTAACTTGTCTCTCAGTGCGTCCGATAAGAATGTTCCAAAATCACACGTCGAAGCCAAATGCTTCACTGCCACTACGAACTCTGCAATACTTTCAGATTGTTTCTGGCATCGACTATAAAAAGTATAACGCTCAGCGACCACAAGGCGTTTAGGAGAATAATGATCTTCCAAGATTTTGCTCAAATTATCGTAAGATTCTTCATCAATCTTCTTAGGAGAAATAAGATCGGTGAGGACGGCTAATATTTTAGGGCCTATTACAGTAATCAAGATGGAGACCTGCTTCACGTCCTTGACCTCGTTGGCCTTGAAAAAGTGTTTCAAACGTAACAAATACGAACTAATATCTTCTTCGTACGGATTAAACTCCGATATCCGACCGATACTAGACATTTCACGCACACGCGGATTTAATTTCGTCGCCAAATGTAATAACTGTACTTCTAAATTAATAAGTTAAAAGAACCCGATACTAGGGACAACTTACTACATAGCATGTTAACTCCGACTGCCGTTTCACTCCGCTTCGTGCCATCGTTCCTAGTCGGTGACGTCACTCAGCAGTGCAGCCAACCACACACACAAACTCAATATTCTTCTGGCAATGTAATAAAGCCTTATATATTACAGTATACAATGGGGTTGAGGTAATGTGATTATTGTATGCATATTCATGAGCCTGAGAGATCTAATTGAAACATCTCCAGTTTCTTTTAATCTGGAACAAGTTCTCATCTAACTCGTATCACAACAAACTCAATGCATTTCAATATAATTAATTGTGTTTTTCAATTTCACTTTTTGGCATTTATATATGTATGTCATAGGAATCTGCAATGCTATTATACATGCTTTATTTTTCGATCAAAACATAAAAAATTGAAATATATCTCCTGTTATTTTATAATCAGAATTATAACCATATGCATTCAGAAGAACGACATTCAACGCCATCTGCTTTTATGTCAACTCCGGCAAGTACAATTGAAACATTCCGCTACACATTCCTTTGCCAGGGTATTCAATAACGACGATCCATAACATGTTTTATTGTGACTTATGGTACATTTACTTTCAAGTACGACCTGCACCTCAGTCAATCAGTGAGATCTAATACAAAGTTTCATTTACTATTTTATGGTTGCGTCCTACTTATTGCAAGTGTGCTAATGTTCTGCAGTCACCGTTATATACAACTACTGAGGGTTGTAGGTCAGGAGCTAGCATGAATCTTCCTGTCCGACCCAGCTTCTCGGAATTAACATGTGCAAATAGATGAGATTTACTTACTAATACGCTGGACGTAGAGCTCTCTTCACTTGCCTAAATTTAGTCGAATAATGAATAATTACACGTTTTCAGTAGCCTCAAGAGTCCAAACGTCTGTATTGTGAATATGTTGGACTGAATTTAAAATCTGCTAATTCTGTGTCATTAACAAGTCCTTTAAATCAAGTTCCCAAAGGGACTGGGTTTACATATTTTAAATACGCTTCTCTTTATTCAAAATGGGCTGTGTATATATTGACGTACATATTTTCAATCGATAGCAACAATTTTTTATCAATCTTAAATGCCACTTACAGTCTACAATACACCGCCATTGGAGGAATAACTTAATTAACTAAGGTTCTATCATGTTAAAGAAACATATGATTTTTTAAAGTTTCTGAATATTTTACAAAGAAAATCTAATCTCGTTTAACATATACAAACGTCCAGAGTTCTCACGTAATATTAGATAATCCAAAGCTTTTCTGAGTTTAACAAAGGTCTTTTGTAAACAAACGCGAGACTTTTGACTTTTTGAGAGAACAAAAGGAAGATTACTCGAGTTTACTATTACGTCCTTCACCCCCAAAACAGCCATCCCCAAACAAATAGTTTTATCTAGAAATAGTTTGAAGTTCTTATTAAATATAAGAACAAGAACTAAACATTGTACAGTTCAGACGAATGGCACGGTTGTTCACTGTACCTTCTTTACTGGCATTAAAAATTCTATAGTGAAATTGTTAAATGTAGTATATATTATTGGTAACTTCAGACTAAGTCTCAATACATTATTGGTAGTCGTAAAATAATCTAATCTACATGATTTACGTGACCTTTATACAGAGGTCTTTCAGTATTTAACATGATACATTGTAGCATTGTAATCTCTTACCCTATTTTCGTGAAATTGTACCGTAAAAGTTCAAACGCAGAACATTTAGAAACTCAGCGGGATAATTTACAAATTCTTTTTCTACATAATTGTGTCCAGAGATGTTATTTTTCCTTACATTGTAGTCACTTTAAAACAGAACATAATCCTTTAACGTAACCAATTAGCAAAGTTTGAAACTAAATGATGACTGATAATATTAAATTCTCCACAGAATAAAGTTAAGAGAAAGATTCATCATCTAATAGAAATTGACAGAAATCTTTTCCTCTACTTTTTTGGAAAATTTAAAAACAAATACATTAAATTTGTTGTTTCCTCTCACATAAATTTAAGTCCTTAAGGGACACTCTTACAAGATATTTTACATCCATACTAAACGTGCATATTTAAGACTTCATTGATAAAGTAGAACTGCTCGCCCGGAGTGCTTCCTAATGGGTGATATCAGTACAATTTAGAGTCATTTCAAAAAAAGAACTCATTGATTGGGAATTAAGAATGCATGGGAAAGAATTTTAAAATTTATACACATTTATGTTTATATCTTTGTACGTATATGAAAAACTACATAATTTAGAGTAGGATTTAAATATATTTAATAAAAGTTTGAGCCATCTAGTAAAATGGGGATTTATTAATACGAATTTGCTCTCTGTAAAATCAATACCTTTAGCTATTTCCTTATCTGTTTACTTCATTGAAGTTTAGATATCTATCGTGAAACAATTGTCATATAGAAAAATATTGGCAATGCCATAACAAAATTATCCTAACCTTCTAAAGTGAAGTTTATCAAACTAAAGTCTGAGAAAAGAGTTTTAATTTAAAACAAAAAGTAAAGTATTGTCAAAAGATATTGCTTTTGATAACGTAAGATGAGTTAAAATATTTGTACAGCTTGACCAGTTTTTTTACATAACATTTATCAACTTTAGTTAGATTAATATGTGATTAAACTTCTGGGTAGTCAACCCGAAACCATCTTAGTGCTTCTGTCACTCTACTAAGAAATCCATCCCATACACAACACTTCACTTTTTGATCAACATTTTAAGTAGTTCATCGAGATTAAGTTAAACTAAAACTACACAAAAGAGGGTTACGTTATAGTTTTATGGCTCAAGCAGTGTTCATTAATCAATTAGTGGTTCAACAATAAGTTTGAAAACTGCAACACGTTAAACAAATTAGCTTTTAACTCTAGAAAGTAATTTTTATGGGACGGAAATCGGTAAAATGTTTAATATGCCAATGTTCTTTCTTCTAATGTAAGGAAGCTTACTGTTAAATGTGCCATGAATTACTTAAAAAATTTTGCTATTAATATGAAATCAAAGTATACACCTCTTCATGTTCACTTTGCATACAGGAAATCAAAAATAAGTTACGTAATTCAATTTTTGACATTTTCAAACCGGTTTTATATAAAAATAAAGAGCATTATTATCCAGCGGGTTTGAATCCCCCCATGCATTTTCGTTTACAGTTTTACTGCCAACCCCAACAGGTGAATATTGTGTTGTTGGGAGACTAATGCGCGACTCGTGGTCGTCCATCCGTCATTTCCGACAACCTCTGATTTATGATCCATCCCGACCTCCGGCGACTTTGACTGTGGAGCTTCACATCACTGTTAACAAAGTGGTATATCTGATATACACATAAGAGATAACCCTTCAAATATGTTCATTTAAAAATATTTTAGGATGCCTTTGACACTAGAAAAGTTGTAGTGTTTATATGGTGTTATTATATGGTCACTGGGCAATTATTCTCCTCAGTCTCATAGTTCAAAGTTTTATTTGTCTCACATATCCGAATAATAATGTTAACCTGTGTTAACCGAATAATAATGATAATGTGTAATAATGTTGTGTGTTATAATAATAACGACCACCATGATGGCTCAGTCAACGTATCAAGTTTCATTTAGTGATAAATTTACGCACTTTTTTCTTCTTTCACACTATTATCTTACAAAACTATGGTGTACCCAAAACATTATTTTAGTGTTGCCACTACCGCATGAATGTGCATAAATTCAATACAATTAGTTGGGACATAATACCTCTATTAAGCTACACTCCAATAGGTGGATTTAAAGTGTGAATTAACTATAATAAATTCAAGTACATTTTTGTTAAGATATAATGATTTAAAACTAAGTGATAAAAATTAAGACGTACGCAGGAAAAATTAAAATGTTGCTTGTTACACCTAAAATATAAAACTTTTTAGGCAGCTTAGGAGAAAAATCCCTACACACTTTTCAAAATCAACACAGTCTTGGGTACAGATAACATAGGCTATAATGCTTAAAATACAATATATAGCCTCCCACTCTCCAGAGAAATTTCGAGCTGGTGACATTTGTCGGTTTGCAACATTTTATGACAGGCGACGCATGCTTTAACTTGGGATATGTTATATCATATCAATTTGCCAAACTCAGCTCAGTTTGAAAACGTATAACCTATTTAAGTAAAGTTTTGTAGCTAAGCCACATAGGCTAGGTCAAGCTCGACTAAGGGGTAAACGTTTCCCGGGTTGGTCCATGTTGGTGAGTACCAAAAAATAAACTTAGGTGTAAAACATGGTTGTATATCCAAGTTTGGCTGTCCTCGATATAGGCCTAATAGCACTATTTTATTGACACTGACAAATAATAGGCTAGGCCTATAAGTTAATTGGGAGTTTATTTAATATCTAGTCCTAAACTTACCATCTTAAGGCATACATTACTTACACCACAGAGAAGTAATATAAACACTCATCCTCTGTAGGCCTAAAGCTACCTATATTTTATTAGTGTTAGGATTAGTATTTTTTTTTAGTTTCATTATGTACTGAACACACCTTGATATAGGGTATTAGTGATTCATGAAATTATCCATTTATAAAAAGCAACCTTGCGGGGTTACCTAATGATGTACCCAGTGCCAGTACTTAAAACAAAAATTAGGGCTTAAGGCCTATGGATATTGGTTTCAAAACATATCAGAATAAAACATTTTTAATCTAGTAGCCATTGATTAGTGTGAATAAACAAAACATGGATGAACAACCAAGTCAAGCTAAGTTACTAACCCAGTTGTTCAAGCTAGGATAACCTGAAAGGATCCATCTCAACAAGGCTTAAACTTTAGAACAAATCCTAGTGTTTGATCTATTTTAAATTTTATTTTTCTGAAATAGATAGCTAAATTATCCATTGCAATCATCC